CATAATTGTTTTGAATGTTCTACCGTAGATTTGGCGTTGTGTTCTGACCATAAAGAATAGTACAACCACTCAAATAACCATCTGGTTTCTTCAGTTTTTACTCAGGAGCAAAAATGAATGTTTTAAACTGGAAATAATGATTTCACATTTATCGAAAGAATTATCGTTATCAAATGATATGAAATCTTTTTATCGCAAGAACATATTTTGCCACCTCCTTTACCGACCTAGTTTGGGTTCTGAGAAGAAAACAGATTGTCCACCAGTGACAGTGACATGCCAACATTAAAATTGCATGTAATTTATATTTGCCAAAACTGCACCCTGATACTGCTGGGGTTTTTTTCCCACATAACATAAACAATCATTTCTAAAGCGTCAGCATTCGAGTGGTGTCTTACTGGTATTCATACTAATTTCCTGAGTTTTTCTTAAATGCAACAAAAATGTAACATGCCATTTCAATAATGTATTTTTGTCATGTACAGTACAAGCATTTTTCTCTGTTCAGTACAACTACCCAAATGCGCTGTGGTGATCTGGTGTTTTTTTGTTTGTGAAGGCTCCCCTTCCTGTGATTTAGAGATGATTATGTGACAGGATGTTCATGTTGCTGCTGCTGATAACATTGCTATCAGTGCCCCTATTTGGTGCTAGCACAGATCGGCTGATATGAGGTCTGTTATTTTTGCACAAGTATTTTTTAATATCGACTAATTGATCAAAAGTAAATTAATGGGTAAAATTATATAGTATAGTAACTGATAAATACTATAGATAATAGATACAAAGTATTTATCAAGCAAACAATCTCTAGTCTCAGCTTCTTAATTTTGAGGATTTGCTGCTTTTTTCCCCCTGAATTTGTATCACTGAAAATGTTATGTGTCAGGGTTTTAGGGTGTTGATCAAACAGCACAAGCAATTTGAAGACATTTCCTTGAGGACTAACTGGTACATAACTGATATTTTTATTTATTTTGTAGATAGCAAGTCTCTTAAGTGCAAGAGTTTCCTTTATTAAGTTCATATTTGTCTGTGTGCTCTGGTCGATGAACAAGCAAGCGAATAACTTATTAGATGTTTTTTATTGTTTACCTTTTTGGGTGCTGCAATGGACAAAGCTAGTTTCAGTGTAATATGTTTTAGGCAATAGGCAATATGTCAATTATTTGGTTATTGGCAACCTTTTTAAATCAATTGCAAAAACAAACTACAAAATATTTCCACTAGTCCCATTTGATGATGCTAAATGTTCGGGATCATGACTACATGATTTTGTGTTGAAGGATTTCTATAGACCTCGGGTGTACACTTCACTTCACTACCTAGCAATGAGATAGGAGTATAGTCGACAGTCGATCATTAGCAAATTAGCAGCTATTGGCCTCATGATATTATGCTAGAGTGGTAGGCCTGAATGCCGGGAGAAAATAAAATACTAGACTGTCTGGATAGAAATGATCAGCTGCAGTGCAGGTGCTGCAGCAGCGTGGGTTACTGTTTGTATATTGCAGATTCAGACAGCTATCCTTAAACCGTCCTCATTATTGTCATCCTCCTCCTACTACTCCTGTGAGCGGAGAGACCCACAGCCCAAAATATGCTGTCATTTCCCCAGTGAGCTGGGAGCTGCACTCAGCTTGCCACAAACTACAGGATGAGCTCATACTCCATTACTTATTCATAGACGCCGTCACACAGGCTGACGCAACCACAGATGGATACATTGGCTAAAAGGAGGTGGACAGGTCTGCATGCCAGGCTGGCAACAGACTGACTGGTAGGCATTTTCCAGAGGCAACCAGACTGTTAGGATGCAGATAATAATGACAGCCATCCTGATTCTGTGTAACATCCTGCAGAGCAGCTGCTAATCTTTGTTGTTTAACAACTTGGCTGCATCTTTTGTGGCTAAATATTTGTGTTTGAACTACAAAATATGCTCAGCTAGACACTTGGCACTTTGCAACACTGAGATCTTTTTCAATTTCTTTCTCACTGATGAAAACTGGCTTTAGGCCTAGCAGAGACCAGTGGATGCTGTTTACTCAGCCAGTCTGTGTTTCACCCCGTTACTGGTTTGTTTTAACATGCTGGGATCCTTTTGTTTGTCTCAGTGGTTTCATTTAGTCAGTCTATTCTGTGACCGATGGCTACAGCCGTTCTCTTTTTTTCTGTTTTTGAATCTGTCCAATTTTCTCCTCCAGATCTCAGTGGAAATATGACCCCGGTCCACTTACAGTGGATGTCAATGTATAGTGGTTGCACATACACGGGAAAATACTACGCCGATAATCAAGCTGAAATTGTTGGTTTAAGAGTTTCTCGATGCTGACATTGATTGAGATCCGTTTATTGTTTTCAGATATAAAAGAAACACCACAGATTATCTATAGTGGACTCTTGGTGGACTTTCTGTAACTTTATTCCAATTCCTGATTATTTCTGAAAGTGTCTTCTCTTGGTGGACAGGTGGCCTTAGGATCTGTTTGTGGGCTTGTAACTGGAAAGATGTAGATTTAATCTCCGTTCTGTTTGGAGAATTCAGGATTTAGAAGCAAATGAATAGCACCTGCTTCTCCTTTTATTACCTCCATTGTGGTGCCTTTAAACAAAGCACTTTTAAATGACCCACAACCACCACTGTGGGCAGCAGATAAGGTGTTTGTGCTGGACAGGTTCCAGATGTGAATGTGTGAGCGTGGTGCAGAGTGCTGCTGAAAAAGAGCCTTTGTGGACTGTGAACCTACCCTGAATGAATAAAGGTTTTAAATCAAATCTCTTCTGTGATAGGCCTGATAAAATGGTTTCAGTTGATATCAGTGAATATGAATAACATCCAGAAACTTCCCAACTCGGAGAGTTTTGAGTTATTGTCCTGAAGTAACACTGTTTTGAGGTGATACCACTTTCGTGACTCTCACCGGTTGAGTCCAGATGTGCTCGAACATGTGGCCGCTGAACTATTTAGCTATGTTGTTGGAAAGTCTAATTTAGAAAAAAAATACATATAAATATTGTAAAATGATGTATTTCAAGTTGGTAATTTCTTGCATTTAAGAGGTCACTGTACAGCAACAAAATTTCATGTTGAGTACCTTTTTAAAGCACTAGCACCCAATGAGATCTTACCATTCCTGATGAGCAGTTAGCACCTTGCTTGGATACCTCTTACATTAGCATATGAATGTGTTTGTGTGATTAGCTGAATGTGACAAGTGTTGTAAAGGGCTTTGAGTGATTGGTAGACAAGAAAAGCGTTGTCGTCAATTTACCATTTAACCTACGAGAAATAAGAAATAAAGATAATTTGGTCAAGCAAAGTGCAAGAGGAGATTCATATCATACTTTTCTTTCTAGTTGTGCTAAAACATGGAATCATGTTTTAGCACATCATCAACAACATCATCAAGGTATCTGACAAATACGTGCTTGGTGACCCCAGTACCAGGATCAGCTGTGTTAACGTCAGCGTTGTTTCTGGTCCGCCCCTTGGACTCTGCGTAGACTGGATGCTTTCTGCTCAGATGCTGAAGCATTGTCGTCGTGCTGTTGTGTTAGGCTAGTTCCATTTTAGAGTTTCCACAGCCGCCGCTGCCACAGCTACTATAACTCCTGTGTTACATTCAGTAATAGTCCCACCTCGTTATTGGCCCGTGCAAAATAGAATCTGGTGTGGTTCTTCATCTGTAGTACTTTATTCTTTCGCCAAATCTTCTGTAACTACGGAATAGACCATCTGGAATCATGTGTTACAGAATGTTGTGATGTTATTACTATAGTAGAACAAGAATAACTTGAAATAATCACTTGGACTTAGTCCTGGACAATAAAAGAATAATAATTATCGCGATGTAATTTTTTTTCAATAACGATATAACAAATGTTAAATAAATATTCTATAAATGTTTGATTTTATTCACTTGAATAGTAAACAAATTAGGACTAAACTTGAAAGAAATAATGATTGGATACTTATTATGATAATTATCGATATCGAAAGATATTAAACTTTTTATTGTGATAAAATTTCTGGCCATATCGTTCAGCCCTATTTGGACTTTATTCTTGTTAGACTGGTTTGTAGTTACCTGTACAGTACAGCTGATCATGAAGTCTAATGCAGGAGGAGGGATGAGAGCTTGAAGGAAAGGAAACGGTGAGTGTAGAGAGGAAGTTATTTTTAATTTAATTTAGTTTTTTTTTTTTTAGCTTTTCTTAATCTTTTGACATTCATCCTCATTTGTTCAGTTGTCCTTGATTTTTGTGCTTCTACCATGGTTAAGTAGGCTACGTAGTTGCATTATTTATTTTTTTTGTCTGTTTTAACTATGTTTATTGTTGATGTACGATCAGGAGTCTGCATATGGGTGTTTTTTATTTTGAAAATCAACTGGATTCTCTATGCCGTTCTGTGTCTAACTTCCTGGTTCATCTGCTTCTGTCAAAAATATACTGGCAGTTAATATTGAACTTTAGTAAAACTAGAATAAAAAAAAATCACAAATGGAATTGTAAACGCAATATTGGGCAGAAAAATGCCCCCCCCCAAACAAAATCGTTCAGCCCTATTCTATATGCAAGAATTTAATCTCAGCAGGATTTATTGTCTTTTGTTCTTGATTACAGTATCTGCAACATGATCGTTTAAATTTAATGAGACAAGAAACACTGTTACCGCTGAGTCACTGGCAGGAGGACGTGTTTATTTTATTTGTGTGAATAAGGACAGACTTATATTCAGGCAGACATACGTTTTGCATATTCATGTAAACCTGAATTTTAACCCCCACTTGTCAGAAAGAGCTTTTTTCCCGTCCTGCTGCACAGCACTTCATTTGACGTTTTATTTGTTAATTTTCATAATCTGCTGAATCTTTTCAGATGGGTTTTTATGTGCTGGATTGTTTTTAATGTGTTTTTTTTTTTGTTGTTGTTGTTTTGCAAGTTCAGAGGCATTTATCTGAATTAAAATTACTTATGTCTTTCATCTTCAGGACCAGTTTGATAATCTGGACAAACACACTCAGTGGGGGATTGACTTTCTTGATCGCTATGCAAAGTTTGTCAAGGAGAGGCTGGACATTGAGCAAAACTACGCCAAGCAGCTACGGTACACACACACACACACACACACACACACACAAATGGAAGATACATTCTCTCCATTTTTGTTTTTTCTGCCAGAAAGATTTTGTTTGATGCAGGGATGTCTATCAAGCTTTTTTTGTCTATCTCTCAGTAGTAGAGTCCTGATTGGATATTTATATTTTCCTGAATAATTGATTTGCACAATAGACATGTAAGTACATTTCACTTGCTAAATGTATTTGCATTAAAACAAGCTAACCTGCATCCTATAATTTTTTTTGGAAACTTGCAGGGATCAGAGTACAAATATTCACTGGGTCAGATTAGACAATGAAATGCAGAAATTTTTGTCGTCTTTGGCCGAGAGACATTGCAGGCTATGGACCATTGTCACAAACGCGTCATGGAGGTTGTTAAACTAAGGGAGAGAAGGTAAAGACATTTGGACATTATAGACTATTTGTCGGGACTGTGTGAAGCATCCAAAATTAAGCTTCCACACAATACAGGGGCACTCAGTGTTATTCCAGACTGCACACATCTCTCAGGCCGGGCCACTATCAGGCTGATATTCTGTTCTCTGAATTTTGTGCGGGAAGGATTGTGCATGATTTAGGCAACCCCGATCACATTGCACTGACGATCAGATGCAGATTTAACAGTATCTGTATTTAGTAGTAGAGCACGTTGAAATAAAGGCAAGTTGACTGGTAATTTATTTATTTGTTTGTACTCCAATTTTGCAATGCTTGAGACAACTCAACAAGCACAGACCCAGTAATCCTCATTAAAAACCAGTAGAGTCCCAGTGTTTGTTGTTGTGTGATTTCAAAGATGGGAAATCCCTTCAGAATAGGTAAAACACACACACGCACGCGCACACACTGCTGTTGTAGGTCTGATGAATGATCAAAGATAGATTTGTGTGTGTGTGTGTGTGTGTTGATGTGTGAATGTTTTTAACAGGACGTGTATTTCAGAGAATAAATCAGGAAGAAACATGCACGCACACACACATATTCCTCAGCTCTCTAGTTAAATTATTAAATTGCTGCTTTACTGGAGTCGCTAGAGTTTGAGCCTGAGGGAATGAACAGGCAGAGACTTTGATGTTTAAATCTTTGATTCATCTTTAATAAAATACTCAGATCCTCTCTCTTTCTGTGTGTGGCTTAAAATATCAGACGGTATTTTTAGCCTCTGTCTGCTTCTCTCTTTCCTATCAGGAACTTGGTGAAGAAATACTGTCCAAAACGCCCTAAAGATGAGGAGCCGAGGTGAGTAAACATAATTGATTTGTTCTATTTTGCCTGAGTTTTTCTGCTTTTATTCACTTCTTGGACATCTGTACACTATATAGCAGAGAAGGCCTGCTAGACAGTATATTTTTATCCTTCTGGTGCTGAAAATGTTTGACTGTTCATTTGTAGGATCCAGACACTGGGTTTGATGTGGCTCTGCACATTCCGTCTGTCTGCAAATTTACCAAACAGTTTTATTGGTGACAGCATTGCACTGAGGAAGTGCTTTAGGCCACTCACTTTATTTTTAAACCACATTTCAAAGACAGGGATAACTATACGTGCTTTAAATAAAATTATACATATGTATACAATTGTATGTATACAATTCAGGAGATCCACTTGTCATGTTGACGCACACTCTTTCACACTTTGTAAAGATATTGAATGGGTTGCAGAGACTAACATAACTAAGTTTGCATTGGAGTGAATGAAAATTCTTGTTTGCAATCTGGGTATTTTAAGTCAGTCATCACTGATTATACACAGAAATGTGAATTTGAATTATGAATCAAATTTCTCTGGTGACAAACGCACAACCTCCTGGTCTATGGGGACAAAGGACAGGGGCCAGGACCAGGAAACACAAACACACACAGACCCCCGAACACAAAAGCTAATCCACTTGGTGAAATGTTTGGGAATATCAGTTTGATTTGATGTCGAATGTTGGAGTCATTATTTTATACAGAGTTGATTCTTGATTCCATATATAGTAAAAACTCTCAAGTGCCACACCATTCCCTCATGGTTTTAGTCCACTGAATTACAATATGGAACATACCTCGCATTTAACCTGATAAAGGTCACCGTCTGATTGAACCATGAAAGAGAAGTCTGCAGCCTATTCAGAGTTAACTGCAACAGTTTGCAAGCTACAAAGTGCTTCCAATGTCTATATTGCTGTTGTAGTGAGACACTATTAAGTCATGAATGACATACAGAAATCGATTTTTGGCATTAGTGAATTGATTCAGAATGATAGAAGATAAGAATTGCAATACTTATTTAAATCAGTTTTATTCCTATCCCTAGTAGAAGAGAAACATTTTTGTTCAATGTTTAAATTTTAGTGCAAAATTTAGACAGGAGAACCAAAAGAGGAATTTTAGAAAAGGGACATATTAAATTAAATATAGCCTGAATACATAAAAGGCATGTTTTACTTCCTGACTCTGGCAAAGTGGGGAAAAACTGTAAAAATCCCCCAAACTCCTCCTGTGTCCCTGGACACACTCTTTCTCTTTAACCAGATCACACACATTTAGGCTACTCTATGTGATCTCCTTTTGTTAACTAATATAATAACTAATGACGTCTCCCACTTCGAAAACCTCTGCTGTAGATATTAGTGTATCATTTAGGCTCCTGTTTCTCTTAAACTCTTACTCGATGCTGTGTGACTGCAGGTATAACTGCGAACAGAGCAGAAAGGCAGTTATGTGCAGTGTTAAACATGTTGAATGTGTGTCTGTTGTGATGTTGTGCAGGTTCACATCATGTCTGTCCTTCTACTCCATACTGAATGAGCTCAACGACTATGCTGGTCAGAGGGAGGTGGTGGCGGAGGAGATGGCTCATAAGGTGTATGGAGAGCTGATGAGGTACAGCCAAGACCTCAAAGCTGAGAGGAAGCATGTGAGTGCACTAGCATACTTCTCTGCATATTATTGAATAAAGGTGACACACATGGTTTATTTTCAGTAGTTTTCAGTGCATCTATTGGTAATTAAGATCACATCTCTCAGAAAATCTGTTGCTTCCTGTTTAAAAAAAGGATGTTGCTGAATGCCCCTCTGTGTTGCCTCATATGCATTTGTTTTCTGTTTGGCTTTACTCCTGAGGATAAATATGTTGGATGTGATGTTAACCATCTGCCTTTCAGTTCTTCCACCATCTGCCGATACTATAATGCAGAAAATTTTAGCTCCATGTGCTTTGAAAAACAGCGCCCCCTTCCTGTTTTGTGCTATGAAGCAACACATATCCCATCAAGGTCCACTCAGACTTGATAAACATGCTACTGTTCACAGTTGTGTTCTTGCTTGTTTATGTTTATCATGATGTCTTAAAACTATAATGGCAGTGATTTTATTTGTTTTGTATTTTGATAAAGGAAATGGTAGAACAATCCCACAGGCAAGAAACTACATGCTGATGCTGAAATCGGCCTGGCAGTGATAGTCTGCTGACCTCCTCCATACAATGACGTGCTCTTTTCTTTTATTACCTAACAGTATTGTTTGTCACTGACTTGGTAATCCATTTTATATATATATATATATATATATATATATATATATATCTCACACACACCCATTTATTTAGTAAGATATTTAAAAAAACAAAAATGCAGTGGAAGGTGTCACATGTAATAGAACCAATTATACAAAAAAACAAAGGATAAAAAGTGGGTAAATCCCTGCATGTCAAAACGTATTACACAGAAGGGAAATACTGTTTCGACCCTGGCTACAAATGTAGAAAATGTTTTTTGTTTTTTTTAAGCAAAAATGTTTCTTCTTGACCTTGGAAATTGGAGTTTGTCAAAATAGCCCCAATTCAAGGTGTATTTACTAGCTTTTCCTGGAGTTTTTAACCATAGCACATGGTCTTTATGAGCAGATGGAGTTTGTTCAGTTGTCATGGAGGTAGATCTGCAGACTTTTAGTCAACCATCAAATTTCATTCTTTAACTTGGAAAATGGTAGTTTGGCAAAACGGTCACAACTCAAGGTCCAGTACTTTCCTTTTTCTGGACTTTATCCACTGATTGTGATGCAGCTGAAAGCTCTGGAAAAGCTAATAAGTAGACAATGAGCTAGGATTCTTTTGTTAAATTATAATTATATATTGTTAGATTCAAACATATGGTATGAAATTTGTTTTCTCCTAACAATATGCTCTATTAACCAGGAATGCATATTCATGAGTGGCTTTTTGTAATAAGTTACTAGTTTTCAGAGGATTTTGTTATTTAACTGCTGTAGTCACTGGATAGTGAATCTGTGGCTGCGGCCCCAGCACTTTCTTCCAGTGGGTTGTTATTGTGTTATATAACTGTGACAGAAATTGTCTAAGTCCAACCTTTTGTGTATGTGCATATGGATGTGTTCTTATTTACACTGTTTGTGTGTATTTCCTGTGTTTCTGTGTAAATGTCTCTTGGTTGTGTGTATGTTTGTGTATGTGTGAGCAGCATCTACAGGAGGGCAGGAAGGCTCAGCAGTATTTGGATCATTGCTGGAAACAGATGGACAATGTAAGTGAGGAGGGAGGGAGGAGAGGGGGAAAAATAAGTGTTTAGTGTAAATATTCTGTTAGTGGCAGCCAGCTGTACTCTTCTCGTACTTGTTTGTGTGAGGAATGCAAGAAATGCTCAGAAAGGTAACTGCTAATGATGATCCCCTTTCTCAACCCTAATTCCACCCATGCCATTATTTAGTGAAGAGACAAATATGGCATTGTATATGAGTATGTGCTGTTCTGTCCAAATGAATATAAAGTACAATATTAGAATGTTTGTGTCTGACTGTGAAAATACAGCAGTGTCCTTTCTTCTTCTTTGTCTTCTTCTTCTTCTTCCTGGCAAACTTCCTGGTCTATGGGGACCAAGGACAGGGGCCGGGACCAGGAAACACACACACGCATACACAGGCCTCAGTGTAAACCAGCCCCTCCCAAATCAATACAAAGCAAAGGCCCATGTGCCACATTTGGCCCTCAACAATTTTCTTCTTGGCTCTTAAAAAGCTCCAGAGAGAGATTCCATTTGTTCACTTCTGAGGTCATTTAATTGCATTTACTGAGTTATTTTCTCAACAGTCATCTCATTACAAGACTTTATAATTAACCACCGCAATTCTATAAGAGCTAAAAAGCTAATTGCTACTTGTTAAATTTATAAATAATACATGTCCAGTCACATGTTTTGCCCAGTAGTTGAGTTACTTTACATTACACATGTGATGGAGAGTGTTTCAGTGTGAGGTCTGCATGACTTTAATGGTGACTACCTAGTGACTGGACTGTAATGTCTCAGCTATTCACTGTGTTTCCTTGACTTCTAATGTAACCCAGATGGGCTGACAGGAAGTAAACTATCTCTCTCTCTCTCTCTGATTTATCTCCCTCTTTTACCTCTCATTCACTTTTTTTTTTTTAGTTTTATAAACTGAGAACTCTTTTTAAAGATTGCAGAAAATGGCAACAGTGCATTCTAATGACAAGGATATACAGTCTATTCTTTGTGTTTCTTGATATATTTAACATCGTGTCATCTTTCTTTTGTCTTTGTTTCTTTTCTTTTTTTTTTTAGAGTAAAAGGAAGTTTGAGAGGGAGTGTAAAGAAGCAGAGAAATCCCAGATTACCTACGATCGGTTAGATAATGACATCAACGCCACCAAATCAGAGGTGGAGAAGGTAGGAAGCTTCTACCTGCAAAGCAACTGATTTTAAATCATTTGCTCATCTGTAAGCCAGTGTGATACATTATACTTTATCATCAGTGAAAATATACCACCATTTACTTTCAGTCTATATTTGGCAGATGACTCAAGACAGTATTGAATGAGCCATAGTTTTACATGGAAGACAATTAACACATAGTTCTTTCATCTTTTGACATTAAAATAGAAATAAAAAAAATCCACAATTCAATAACTAACTTCATCCCACAACCCTCATAGCTAGTATTTTGTTTTACTTTAGTTAGCCATGTGTAATTGATGCCTATGAAATTATACTGTAGCTCCCTTTTTCCCCCCACACTCACTGTATAATTAGACCAGGTGGATTAACTTAAAGCTTGAAGGAAAATCAACCTTTCCAAAGAGAGGTTGAAGCACAGCCCAGTAAGCCTTGTTTTTTAGATGAGGTACTGTCTATATGACTTTTAAAAAGAGAATAACTATGGAAATAACAGGAAAGGTACTTTTCACCGCAAGTTTCAGCTACAATTTAATTTGTCAGGACTTAAAGTACTATTATGTGTGCAGTTTTGTGTCTTGGACAGACGGAAGGTTGTTGAGGCTTCAGCTAATGTGGTTCTAATGTTTTTATTGATGTCATTTGTTCAGGCCAAAGCCCAGTTCTACCTGCGGACTCACATGGCCGATGAGAGTAAGAACGAGTACGCTGCTCAGCTACAGAACTTCAACGCAGAGCAGTGGAAACATTTCAACAACGCCATACCACACATCTTCAAGGTAGCACAAACATGCCATACATACTCAACACATTCATACCAAATTGAGTAAATGTTTACAAAATTGAATGAATGAAGGAAGGAATAAAGCACAGCAGAATTACCTATTAAATAGACTTAAACCTTTTACGTCAGTGCTAAAAAACTAATGTTTTTGTTTCTTAGTCTTTGTTGCATATTGTCTCAGATATCTAAAGAGCAACAACAGCCTTTGACCTTGTGTTTCACATATTTGTAATGTTTGGAATTAGCTTCTCACTAACAAACTCGTGGATATGTTCTTTGGCATTCCTCATGAAACCAGTTGTCATGTTTAGAGAAAGTGTAGTGCCCTGCTTTAAGTGCCTCCTTAAATGTTGGACTTCGCAGCTTGTCTCATGTAAACCATTACTTACAAGTGTCAGAGTGAGCACTGCACCGTTACTAGTGTTTATTCCATTTCCTCTGTGTTACAGAATCTGCAAGACATGGATGAACGTCGGACAGTGAAGCTCGGAGAGACGTACCGGAGCTTTGCTGAGGCAGAGCGGAGAGTCATTCCCATCATCTCCAAATGTCTAGAGGGAATGGTTTCTGCTGCCAAAGCTGTCGATATGCGAAAGGTATGTAGTAGAGTGGAGGACTGCTGTAGGAAAGGAGAGGGAAAACAGTTTCTAGCATCATGTTCAGAAAACTGCCCTGAAGAAATAAGCTATTACTTAACATAGGGGAGGGATGGAAGGCTCCTCCCTCTCTTTTTGTGTCCTACTGCTCACCTGTCCATCTGTTTTTATCCTCCCTCCATCCCAGGATTCAGCCATTGTTATAGAGTCCTTCAAATCAGGGTTTGAACCTCCAGGTGACTTTCCCTTCGAGGACTTCAGTCAGAATCTGAGCAGAACGGGTTCAGATGGGACCATCAGCAACACACCCAAAGGAGAAAGAGACAAAGACGGAGCCCCGGGATCACGCACCGACCCAAAACCCCCTATGAGCAGAGCCAAGAACAAGCTCTGGCTGTTTGGGAAGAAACCAAAGGTACAAAGAGTGAGGGGTGCTTATAGTTTTGTTGCATATTTATCTAATGGATTAAAAGTACCAGAAAATTGACTAAAAAGAACCGACTGCACAGTAAACACTTACACTTCATCATCTAGGCCAAAAACATTGTCATTGTTATGTCTCTATACACATCTCAAAGTTTTTCCTAAAAACAGGAATGATAAGCAATGCTTGGAGTGGATGTCAGTATGAATCAACCTCTTGAGTATCTCATTTTCTCACAACTGTGTATGTGAATGCATGAGATGGCAGCCTCTGCTGGAAAGATACTGGTAAACATTCACAGGGTTCTTGCTCATTTATGTCTATATTATCAGTGCGGATGTTATGTGTCAGTATCATGTGTTTTTGTATGAATGGACAATAATAATGCATTATGTCTGAATGGAAATGCTGATGGATGTTCTTTATAATGCCCTACAGATATAGCAGAAAGTACCGTTTCCCCATTTATTTCATTTTTATAAACAAAGTGTTTATTAATTTTGCTGGTTCTAAATTCAGTGTTCAGTAATGTAATTTAAGAAAACACCAGTGTTCCCTGTCTCAGACGTATTATAGTTAGTGCTACAGTAAATCTCCACCCTGCAGCTGCACATCAGCTTTATTAGTCACATCCTGAACATAGTCATGTTCATTTCTCCATCCCTGCCTTTTACAGGGTGTTTTGTCTTGCAGAGACAACTTTGTAGATTGTTATTTCCTCATATTTTATTACTTTCTCTGCACCTTAGTTGTAATATCAGCTTGTCTTGTTTTTGTCACCTTTGTGACAACACTCAAATTATTTTCTCTGATACACACTTGGACCTTGCCCCTCTCCATAAAGATCATGTTGGTTAATTATTAACTTTCTGCTGTTGGTTTATGTTGGCGTCATCAGCTGCCTTGCAGTATCAGGAACCTGTAGGATGGATAGGGTGTGTGTTTGTGTATATGGATTAGCTGAAATGTTTAACACTTTGTGCCCTAAATTTTGGCGTGTCCCACACAGGTTTGAATTTTAAAGCCCCGGAACACTTGGCTTCAAATCTTAAGCATTTCTCTAAATAGTACATGTCTATGACTGAATAAGTTATAATCATCAAATTATTTAAATAATTATTAACAGTTTAACACTCAAACCCAGTTAATCTTCTTTATCAGGACTGTATGAGAGTGATCAGATTTGATTCAAATATTGCTTAAACCTGATTGGTACTTGGACGTACATGACATCACCTTTTTCCCCAAAGAAGCCCCGCCCACTACCAACCAAAGCAAAGAGCACAGAGGGTGGGAAAAAAGAAATAGAAAAATCTCCTGTGAAATAACTAAAACTGTTCTAATTTTGGCAGAAATATTATGCTCAAGTAGGATCAGATAATTATTATAAGTTAATAATATAACTGACTGATATACTCAGTTTTATTCAACTCAATTGATCAAATTCTGATCATTCAAAGAGTTGTTTTGAGGTGGCGCTAAGAAAAATGTATTCATGGTTTTACAGCCATTTTTTTTTGTAATAATTGTATATTATAAATAAGTCTTTTTGGGACAGTGTATTGATTTTTGGCCACTACGCCAACATCACCTCACAGGTCCCCAGTTTCTTGGAAGCTTAAGAGCAACATTAAAAAAAGCTTGAATGAGTCAGCTTAAGTCATCAAAGTGCTCTGACATAGTGAGTAAAAGTCAACCTTATGACTCTCACATGACTCAGTTGAAAATGTGAATGCTTGAATGATAAATTCAGATTGATTTGCAGTTCCAAAGAAGTAAAAAAAGTGAACTTTCACTTCTGTTATGTGACCATGACACACACTCTCCCCCACAGTTAAAAACCACCATCAAACAAGAAATACTTTATAGCACAACTCCCGAGAATGTGTCATCCTGACATCTGGCTTTGTCTTCTCTTCTTGTTAACCACCAGTCCCCTTCCTCCTCTCCTCCTCCTCCCCCCCCTCCACCTTCTTCCTCATCCTCCTCTTCCTCCTCCCGTTCCCGGCCCCCCTCCCACATTTCCCCTCCACACCGGTTCAGCACTGACCTAGTGAGCCACTATCTGACTGAGATAAAGACTGCAGTACCCAGAATCCCTCATAATTTGAGGGACCTGAGGAGAGGGGTGAGACAGGAAGTAGCGCTTTAGTGTGTTTGATTAAGACAGGTTGCCGTGATTTTGATTTTTAAATTTCTTCTGCCAGGGTGTCTGCAGTTCCTGGATTAATAGTGCAAATATATCAAGTTCAGTTAAACTCCAGGCTTTTAACTGCTTTAAATATACTGTTTTTAATGTTAAACACAGTTTTTAAATGTTATTTCAATTTTAACTGATGAAACTTGCAGACACTCTGTTGTGCTGTTTCTCTCACCCATTTCTCCTTTTTTCTATATTTATCTTTTTTGGTTTGTTTCTCTTTCTCCCGTTTTCCTTTCTTATTCCCTCCTATTTCTTTTGTTTTTTTGTAATTCTTTCCCTCTTTTCATTTATGAGACAGATTATTGCTCCACTCACGAGATGGAGGATCCTTGGTGTGTGTATGTGAAGGATTTAGAGGGTTTTGGGCATTTTGGTTGCAGTGTTGTGTGGGGAAAATGTGGTACCAACATCAGGTGTGATGCTCTGATGTTGGTCTGGCCTGAGTTTGCAGTGATTTGTGTGTGTGTTGGAGTGGCTAACAGTATTTTCTGAAGCAGAGCTTTATGCTTTCAGACAGTTTAACACAAACTTGTAAATAACCCCCGCCTCAGTGCCAAGACAACGCTTGGATTGGTCTTTCATCAGTTCTGTCGGGACCGTCTGTGATTGGCTGCTTTTCAGTCTGATTTAATCTGTCAAGTGGTCCTCAGAAGAACAGGGTGACAATCTGGCTGGCTGACTGTCACTGACATGATGTTCACTCCTAATGGAATATAATCTAAATTAGAGAGATGTATTCCAGACAGGGAAAGTTGGGGCTTTGTTAAAATAGCTAGGGAGTCTGTTTTCTTAACAAACACAAGTTATTCATCTGTATCCCAGAGGCCTAATAATAAATAATATTACAATTTTAAATCATTAAACGTGTTTTAAATTGAGCTGCATGGATTATCGATTATAACATTATCGACTATGTTGATAATCGGTTAATCATTTTAGTAACTGTAGACTTTGGTTGCAGCTCCATATTGTCATTCATGATAGTAAACTGAATACCACAGAGTTCTGCACTGTTAAAATAAATAAAACAGTTTCAAATACAGCTTGGGCTGTGTTGACTGTAACAGCCATTTTTTGCCATTTTATAAGACTGTAAAGACAAAACAATCGCTCCATTAATTAAGAAAATCTGCAGATTAATTGATAATGAAAGTAAGTTAGTAGCAGTTCGTAATTTTAAATCCTGGATTGTTTACCTCCATAGGTGTTAGCTCACAGTCCTGGTATGCGTGGTTGTGAGTCAATAAGAGGAATAGCATTAAACATGGGGCAGGAATATGTTTTATGTTTTAAGTGGCTCACACAGCTCCTGCACAATACAAATAAAAAAGGGGACACACTCGTAAAAATATTGCTCTATAACGTTGCTTCTGTAAAAAATCTATACAGGATACTTTTAAAATCGGCAAATTTTAGAAATAGCCGTTTAATAGGAATATACAAGAATGCGTTTTGCCTCGGATATTTTTTCAGCAAAAAGCCTGGAGGAATGTTTTTTTTGTTTTCGTTATTTAATCAGCAAAAAAAATGACAATTTTACTTTATGAAAAGCGTTGGAGTTATTTAAAGTTTTGTAATTTTTACACCAAAGATAAATAAATATATACTGCGTCCTTTCAAACATCTTGTTGATGATGAAAACAGAAAATTTAAATTTGGAGTGAATCATTGCACACCACCAGGCTATTATAAATATTCAGTAGTTCATGTGCATTAAATAACACGTGCGACTGTTATTTAGGACTCATGAACTATTGGAGTTTCCTACTGGCCACACTGGGAACATATATCGATCTGACTGGTTTTCATGCTGAGATACTGACAACTAACCAGCACCCCATGTTGTTTGTCTCCTTTTACTGTAATGGTTTTATGCATCAGTGGTCAATCAAGATGGTAAGTGTGTGTGAGTATATATATGTGTGTGTGTATAGAGTAGTTATAAAAGGACCCACCAGTAGAAGTGCTCGTGCACGTATCCTCACCATGTAGGACTTCCCATAGTGTCCAATATATAAACCCAGTAGTGATAGTAAAGTTAGCAATTTCTCCCCTCCTAGTTAAAATGAATTTTCCTGCCTTCTGTCATATATTATTCTTTTCAGCAGCTAAAGCTGTGTTACATGCACATAAATACAAATCAAGTTCCCCACTTTTAGTCCATTTTACGCCATTTTAATGTCAGCTACTGTACAGTATTGCTTGTCAGTATTGACACTGACCCACAAGGGAAATTTTAATCCCTTCAGAAGCAGAAATATTACTTTTAGAAACCAACAAGGAGGGGGAAAAAAAAACAAAGCTTCTGAATATCCAAGTAATAATACATTTTTAGCCCCAGTTACTGATTTTAAATTGTGTTCGTCTTTATTAAATACTTCTTAATTTGAGTTAAGTTCGAGTACAACAGCTACATGCTGATTTGGGCTGCTTATTTTCAAGTCTCGTTCTATGGAAAGTCTGTTAACAAGTGGAGGCAGCTGGGCTCAACACAAGTGCTGGAAACAAGTCCTTGGTTTAATTACAGTTTATCAGGTCTCTCCACACCTCAGAAAAACATGTAGAAAAATCTTTATTCCCTCTGGTGGCACACCACGGACTTCATGAGTTGGTATGTAGTTGAAGTGTTTTTTGTTTTTTTTACCACCAGGCCCCGTCTCTGGAGGATTACAGCCACTTACCCCCTGAGCAGAGGAGAAAGAGGCTGCAGCAGAGGATCGACGAACTCGGCAAAGAGCTCCAGAAAGAAATGGATCAGAGGTAGGGCCTTACCCATAATTCCATACGCAGTCCAAATCACCATCACAGGAAAAATCTGTTAAAACGGCAGGTCAATACAGAAAACGCTTTAGCCGTGTATTTCATTCGTACGTCTCACACGTGTTTGATGCATCCTTTGTAGACACACACTACTCCGCTAACGCCTCCTGGGTAGAGACGGCTTTAGTCTGGCATTCTTGAAACAACTGGATTAGCATTAGAGACAGTTACAGTATGAAAACAGCCCTAAATAGTCTGACGCTGCTGTATGAAATGACTCTAAATTCAGGATAATGAGCTGAAAGTCTACAAGAAACAATAGAATCATGACAAAATAGTTTTGGGTCAAAGCTGTGGCAGAAAAATGATCATGGAAAAGCTGTAGCGCAACATGGATGTGCGAATGTTCCTCACTTTTATGACCTATGAACTGCTTATTATCCACTCTTATTCCAACCGGTCAGCTGCAGCCCATGTTTTGTTTGTGTCTTTCAGAGATGCCCTGAACAAGATGAAGGATGTGTATGAGAAGAATCCACAGATGGGAGACCCCAGCAGCCTGCAGCCCAAAATATCAGAGACCATATGTAACATGGAGAAGCTGCGCTCGGAAATCCACAAAAACGAGGTACGAAAGGGAGAAGGTTTAATTTAAATAGAGCCAAAAATATCTGTCTGTGAAACCCAAGAATGAGGTGGAGGGTTAAGGGATGACAAGAAGGATGAAGAGGTAAAGAAAGTTGAGCCTTTTCTCCTACCAGGGAGTATTACCTTGACTCTTGATGTACACAGCTTCTGGCCAGTTATGGTGGTGATGGCTCCATCTCATGGTCAACTGTGTCTGCTGGTGTCAGTCAAAATGTACTAACGTATATAACGTGTAACGTAATATTATAATATAATAATATTATATGCTATGATCAGATGTCTCCCTTCTCCCTCTCTGTTAACAGACTTGGTTATCTGAGGTGGAGGGAAAGCAGAGCTCCAGAGGAGACAGAAGACACAGCGCCGACAGCCACCACCATCACACCCCTCAAGGCAGAGAGAGGTAAACACCTTCACACAGGTATAAATTATATATACACAGACAAAGAGTGAGAGAGAAAGATGTTCAGGGCAAATGTTTAAACAGGTATTTATGAATGAAGTGTCAATACAGCATTACTGGCTTGAGAACTTGCTTCTGTATTTGAGTGTTTGTCTAACCACTGAAGAAAATTTAAGCTTAAGAGATGTGTTTTAGTTCAGTTGACTAATGCTTCCAATTATGTGAATTAAATTAATTGGTTAACCTAGAGTATTTTTTCAGTGCACAGGAGGTTGGCTAAACGTGAAAAAAGTGAAATTTGTATACAAGGAAGCATACAATAAGAATAAAGTTTCTAATAAATTATGTACCATGAATGAATTACTGTAATCAGTGTCATATTACATTGTTAATTGCAGAAAATGTCTTAGGGCATCTTATTAGGAAATTAATGTAAAGTTACAGGCTCATTAATATAAAGCATTAGGAAAAAATCTGCACGTATAATTATTTTGATAACTTAATTTAATATAAAAGTAGTTAAATCCACATTCAAATAGACTTTACTGTTAAAATGACCCACAACAATATGAAAGTTAGTAGGTGGTAGTTTTTTATAATTTAGTAAACTTCTCAATGCTGGTTCATGCTAACATGCAGTTCCCTGGGAATACTTTACTGATAGTTGGGTCTTTGATATCCCATATTGGCAAGGTGCAGTGACGTATTTTAATCATGCAAACACAAAGCTCAGTCCCGCTGCCTGTTTCCCACCAGTCCTGAGGGCAGTTATACAGATGACACCAATCAGGAGCATCACACGTCTCACCACCGCCCCAGTCCTCCGAAGCACGGACACACCAACACCGATCCCCACGAGTTTGATGACGAATTCGATGACGACGACCCGCTGCCTGTCATCGGCCACTGCAAAGCTCTCTATTCCTTTGATGGTAAAGACAAACGGCATAAAGTGTTAGCAAATCTCCACAGTATCAGTCTCGAAGGACTCTGTAGAGAATGAACTACTTGGTGATGGTGATGGTTACCTGCACAGACACTAGCAGGTTACCTAGCTAGTCAATTATCTTCGCTGTAACATTATCAGCTTCAAGACTGATGCGTCATAAAGTTAAAGGTCCCAAAAGTATGTAACGACCCCTGAGCCCTGGGGCAGCATTTTGGATTATCCAGCATATATGTAGTAAAATTTTCTTATGTGAGACATTATTGTTATAAACAAGATATAATGCCTATATATGATCCAACATTAAAAACAAAATTCACAAAGGAGGAAGAACTATTAAGACCTAAACTAACCTTGATGTGTATTTAATGTCAATATGTTTGACTCTTAGGTCAGAATGAGGGGACGCTGGTGATGGCGGAAAATGAGGTAATGCTTGTTTTTTATTTTGTAATATGAAAATGATTTGTGTTGGGTATCGTTTGGATTTTTTTACAAATCCGGTGCCTGAACCGATACTTTTAAAATGATAAGGAAAAAAGCTTTTTCAATTCAATTTTATATCAAAAATCTCGAAATTGAACAATGTATTATTTTTGTATTATTATTTAAATATAAACATAAGTACATACAAAACACAAGAAATTTACATAATAAAAATCACAATAATATATAAAACTCAACCCAACTGCAGTAATTTTACACGTGTATCTCTCTGCTGAGCCCGGTTTATTTGGCTTAGGCTGCGGCCCACGGTAGCCTGTGTTATTGTAGCATTAATAAAGACCGAGTTGGTAAAGAGAAACAGGCTCTCGTCTCGTAGCCTTTCATCGAGGAGTACATTTGTACTGCGGTGAATGCTGGCACAGATTCTTACGTTCGTTTCAGGGCAGCAGAGGGAAAATGGTTAAATCGACACATTTAAGTGGCACCATATTGGCACTGGGTTTCGGTACCCAACCTTATTTATTATAGGTTTTAGATGAGAAGGCTGCACGTATTGTGTGTGTGTGTGTGTGTGTGTGTGTGTGTGTGTATATTCAAAGCCTTACACAGCTTATTATTGCTCTGGGTGAAATGTTCCTTCATGACCACACAATGTAGTTTATTTTGACTCAGTCCCACATAGACCGTCCTGCTGCTGTAAATACAAACTGGAGCACCAAATATGTATTAATCTGCTGCTGAAAACTCCAGGACAAGAAGCACTATTACCTCCTTTTTTGGGCAGCAAGCCACTCAAACAGTGGATAGGGCACCGGCGTTCGGTTTGGGACTGACGGGATCCACGTATTTTGGTGTCTGTGTTCTTCTTATTGCGTTTTATTTTAAAAATGCATCTTTGCCATTGCAGGTGTTGTACATCATCGAGGAGGATAAAGGCGACGGCTGGACGAGGGCGAGGAAGCAGAGCGGAGAGGAGGGCTATGTCCCCACCTCCTACGTAGAAATCACCATGGAGAAAAACAGCAAAGGTGCCGTCACCTACATCTGAAGCTCCTCTGTCCTCTGTCCTCCTCTCATCCGTCTGTCATCCTCTCCACCTCTGCTTTCCATTCCTCAGAATAACACTACAAAAGGAAAAAAGACCGCATCCGAACGCCTGCATGGACATTCATCCGTTTCCTTTTTCTGACTTCCCATCCCTCCATCCTCCTCCTATTTCCTCTAACCCTGTAATCGTTTGTGCTCCTTCTCTCATATCTGTGGGACTGATGGAGAGAAATAGGAAAACCTATTTGGTGTTTGAATAATTTGTATATGTTTTTAAGTGTGTGTGTGTGTGTGTGTGTGTGAGAAAGATGCCTCACCATGTCTTGTGTGTTTTACGTTTTATATATTAGAAACAATTTTAGCCATTCTTTAATTATTTTGGTGTTTCTTTTGGAGACGTTTAAAACTGATTTAAGCTTTTTGGATTCAGGTGTCGACATAATTTGATCGATGTTCTGATTTCATGTTTTTATTTCTGTCTGATTGCAGTTTGTGTGTGTGTGTTTGTACATGCACATTTGTTTTTCTTTGTTACCTGTGCCATCACACTAAAGGTGGAATTACACTGACAGGGGGTTGTCTGTTTTCAGCCTTAGTAGAAAAAACGTTTTCATACTTTACTTTGTTACAGGAGTTTAGTCTTATTGATATTGTCTGTCCTTTCAGTGCAGAGCTGGACATTGTAAAGGATAAGGCTGGCATTACTCTGTATATTTCTTAGTTGTTAACAAATGCCATGAAAAGACAAAAACCAACACTGTCAGCTTTTCAATACTAGTTCCTTACCCTGTCTGTGGCTCTCAATTCCAAGCCTATTGGACATCCAAATCTTTAAAAACACCCCCAAATATATATTTATATTCTTGAAAAATTGTAGTTCTCAGTAAACATTACTAAAACTGTAAACAGTGCAATTGTTAGGGGGGTTTTCAGCTTCAACTAATGCACATTTGGTGCTCTAGTGGAGGGGTTTGCAATGATTTTGGAATATTGATGGGCTTAAAAACTTTGAGGCAGCTGTCAAGAGTGAGAGAACTTTTTTAGCAACTACTAAACTCTATACTGTAAGTTGCAATGCCAAAATATGCCAATAAATAAACCTTTAAATAGGCAAGTCCTGATGCCGGTATGGAATGATGATGCACAGAGGAATAAGAGATATCAGCACAGATAATACGTTAGTTGGATGAGTTCATTGTTGGCTTTAGTCTGGTATTTGTTGAAATCTCCAGCCATATTCTTTAACTCTAAAATCTAAATCCACCAGGATTTAGGAGATAAAGTCAGGAAAAAGTTAAAGAAGTAGCAAAGTGCAGTGTGAAAACAATTTCACTTCAGTTAAAGGAGGCTGTAACAATTATAATTCTCACTGACAAATCATGTATTTTATGTTATCTTGCACTTATAAACTGTTCTTGGTCATTGTTTGAGTCACTGATTAAAAACAGCTCTGACCATTAGTGTTTCTATTGGCATCCATGCTAGCTTAATCCTCTACTGCAGGCGTTTCTCAGTAATATTGTCGATCTCAATATAGTCACGTATGAATACTGAAGTACAAACAAGGGTTGCAGAAACATGGCACCCAAATGCTGACTGTAAAGAGAAGGGCAAGTGTTGCTACCAGTATCATGTTATTAGTTCTTACACAGTTACTGGTGACAAGTGTTTAAATGGGAGGCTGCCAAATGGAACAAAAGGCCACAAACCTGCTGCTGTAGTGTTACTACATCACATCACAATCAAAACTGAACAATGGGTTTGGGGACAATTCTGTTTCAATGAATTTCCAACATGCTTCAGTAGTTTTAGTCTTTGCTTTTATATCTGAAATGTTTCAAAAGTTTTTAAATTGGTCTTTATTTTCAGACTTGTAGAGAAAGCCACAGTGAGATACGGTAACAACTGCTGGATGGATTTCCATGAAAAGTTATATGTTACATGGCAACAGACCTCTAGGCTTCTTCATTAGTTTGTGTCACAGACAGAAGGGAGAAGGATCGCCCTGGCAGCGCTGACTGCTAATGACATAAACAGACAGCATGATACGTTAAATGTTTTGCATCGCTCACCCTTTCCTTTTTCCACTGAACTAAGTGAATTGACCCCACCCTGATGGGAAAACCTGAAGTCTAAATTCCAGTAAACAGGCAGTCTCTCCTTATTTTAGTCTGTTAAATCATGTTTGTGTGTATTTGAGTGAGTGAGTGAGAGAGAAATGCAGCAACTTCTGTGTCTTTTATTAACTGGCTCTCTCCTCCATGTGACTGCAGGTTCCTGAGGGCTGCAGGGTGGCCAGGCGATTTGATTGGCTGGTGAAGGGCTCACGCTGATTGCTGATTGTTGGTGGTGGGGGTGATAAAGAAAGAGAGTGATGAGGGGAAAGAGAGAGGTAGAGGAGGGGGGGCAGGGGGGGGAGAGAGATGAAGTGGGCTGGGAGGCAGGTTTGCATGTCTGCATGCTGACATCCATAATCAGCAAAGCATTCTGGGATACAAGAGGAATAAGGGAGGGTCATCAGTAGAAGAGTAGACTGTCTTAAAGCCAAAAACACTAATATCATTTAGTAAGTTTCTAAACTTTTTCTGTTGGTGTTGAAACAATCTGTAAAAAGGCCTTCTCTGCATCCAGCTGCAAACACTGACATGATGAGTAGCAGTGGCAGGAAATGGGAAACTTTAACAGTGGCGGCACCCGCAATCTCTCAGCTGCTGCTGGGCTGGAAGACTTTTATTGAAATAAAGAGAAGCTGCAACTTGCCTCTTAATGGTCTGTGAGGGTCTTAAGATAGGACTTCTGTAAAGGCTACACATCTTTAACATCCTAGTTCAGGGATACAATCCTATCACATCAGTGGGGGAAAACCTGCTGATGTTCTGCTCCCTGTGGGTTGAAATATTTGTACTATGTACCATCTTGTTTTTGTTTTGTTTTTTTACCGTTGACAGCAAATAGAAAGCCCCTGTTGTCACCTCTGAGGGTAAAACATGCATGAGTACTGGAAAGTTTCAGCTCACAGCAGTACAACAGCAGGCTTTCCTCTCTGATTCGGTGTTGATTTATCCTTTAATGACTGACAGGAGCATCTCCCCAGCTCACTGATTCATTGTCTGCTTCATGCTTTAACAGGACAGCCTTATATGAACTACATTTGCCTCTGTAGGTGCTGGTCAAAGTGTTGGAGGAAAAGTTTGTCTAAGCCTTTTGTAGCGGCCAACATTGAAGCTTCTTTTGTTAGCATACATAGCATTTTTCATACAAATGAATGGGCTCCATAAAACCTAAAATAGCATTTTGACAAGAAGTTCTCATCACAATGTCCCCTTAATGACGTGGAAGCTCAGGTTATCAAGAAGACTTTGCATCTGAACATCCTCATCTGCCGAGGAAGTCTACGAGATGTGGTTGAAAGCTCGGGAAACACCAAGTAAGTGAACCTTGTGATGAGGGATTTCTTGGCCAAAGTGCTATTTTCAAGGTCAGGAGTGGGCCCTCAAGTTCAAAATAAAATAGCACATTAGCTTTCGTCAGCTCGCTTAGTAGGGAGGATTTGTTTGTAACATATTTCAGTATTTCCTTGCTATTTCCAATTTGTTTTCCACCAGCCATATTCTCTAAATCAGACTCTCCCACCAAGCTTTTAGTAAAAAATGTCGGTGTTTGTCAGCCTTTTAAGGGTCAATTGTGCTCCCAGTATTTGCTGCCACTAACAATGTCAGTGCTGCACTGCTCCAACTCATCCCTGTCGTCATCATCTGTGCTCTGTTGGTGATGTCTGCCTGCCTGTCTGCCTGCCTGAGCCACTCTGCTCCTCATGCCTGCCTTCACTGTCATACAGTCGCATGTCTTTAACGTGTCCTAAACATGTTTGAGTGTTTCATCTGTGACTATAGCTGCAACTTTATGAAAGTGTGTGTGTGTGTATGCGCGCCACTTTGGCTGAGTTGTATGTTGAATGCCACGTTGTCATGATGTTTTAATGGAAGTCCAGCATGAGTATGATTTTATATTTTGTGTGTTTTAATGTCTGCCAAACAGCAGCTGGGTTAATCAATGCTACTCATGAGGCAGATAGCAGGACTATCAGGTGAACACAGGACCTCTCTTCCACTCTCTTTCTTTCTCTTCCCACCTTTCCTCTCCTTTTCTTCCTGGGTTGTAATGCTACCAGTTGACCAGCAGATGGGAGCCTTCCCTCACCAAACCACAGCTCAGCTTGAGCAGGACTGGGCCACTTTTAATAACACCAAACATCAAGAGGAGCTCATGTATCTTTGCAGTCAGACTCTGCCGTAAAACCTCTTGTCGTTTTACCGTGGAGGGATTATTCCACGTATATGTGCTGCTCTTCGCCGGACTACATCTCCCATCAGCCACCTGGGCTCAGCCTCACCTGCTTGGAGACTCAACTACATCCCCCCCGCAAAAATAAATCCGTTGCATTTGTGAATGTGACGACACACGTTGCCATGTAGGCACATTTATGGAAAGCCAAACGGGCACAATTTTGCATGTTTGGCTTTCCATACACATTAACGTGTAAAACGTGTGTACTTGTGCCTGCGTTAACGTGCGTGACGTTAGATTGAATGATTTGTACATATTAACATCTTTTATGTCATGCTGAATGTGTTTCCATGGTGATTGTTTTTAGGTTTATTTGATGATTGGACACTCTTCATGAGAGACAACAAGGTTTGAATTGAAATGATGCACTTTGCCCTGAAGTACTACAGCATTTGAATCGGATAAAATGAACGAGTGAGTGGCTGATGAATGAATGAAGGTCTGTGTTGTCTGCTGAAGGAGGAGTGAACTTTATGAATGACCACTGTGCAGGAGCGAGAAACAAAAACAGCTCTAGTAATCCTCTCTTCCTGATGGTTTTTATACTCTTTTTGTAACTCTCGACGAGCAACGACCGACTTTCTTTGCATGATTTTCTAGATTATTTGAATTCATTTGTCTCTCTGGTGATTGTTTTTTTTAACCATTCACTGCATCTCTTCAATAGACTAACAGAAAAACACGTAAAGTAAAGTTTTACTTCCTTTTGATGCTGTTTAAGACAAAAAATGCCACTAATGATTCCACTCTTGTCGATTTAAACAGCAGGTGTCAACAACGCCTTAGTTGTGATCTGTGTTTCTTTGATGAAGCTGTGAAATGTACAGAATGATGCTGTAAGTGTTGTTACTTGAACTTTCGGGCACACTACTCCGCATTTACTCTCCTACCTGGGACCATTTTGCATCAGACATTGGATTAATAGTTTGACATTGTGAGAACTTTGCTTTCCACAGCAATGGTTTTACACCTTATATGGATTAAACAAATGAGACACGGGTTTTGTTACCTTTGGGCAGAGCCAGACTAGTTCTTTCTCAAGTCTTTATGCTAATATAAGTTAAGCGGCTGCTGGTCTAGCTTCATATTTACCGTACAGACATGAGTGGTAGCAGTCTTCTCATCTAACGCTGCGCAAGAAAGTGAGTAAGCATATTTCCCAAAATGTCCAAGTATTAACAAGTATTCAGTTTCTGCAGTCTGTCAGTTTATGCCTTTTCTGATGATGCCTTGTAATCAATGCTTTTTGTGTTGTGTACATATCTGATGTCAGTGTTTTCCAAACAAGGACGAGCTACAGCTAGACTGCTTGTGATTCCTTAAGTTGAGCTAAAACTGTTATATTTTGGCAATTTTTGACAACTGTATGTGTGCAGTCAGGTGTTGCATATTAGATTTTTTGTTTGTTCTAGTTGTAATGTAGTCATGCTGTACCTAATCAGGGCGGCAACTAATTGTTTATCATTATCTTTTGATTGCTTAGTCTATAAAATGTAAAAACAAATGGTGAATAACGCCTATCAAAGGTTTTAAGAGCCCAATTCGATGTCTTCCAATGCTAAACAGTCCAAAATCCAAAGATATACAATTTTAAAAAACAAAACAAAAGCGGTGGCACATTTCAGCATTTGTTTTCTAAATCACATCTGAAAAGAAGAAACATTCTACCAGTTTCAGCACTAAACCCTGTTTGTAATTGTAAATGTGCACTCAGGCACAGACGTTCAAGATCTTTGTAGTGGAGATGATTATCCTCTAAAAAAGATGGATAAGAGAAAGGCAGTGACATACAGAGGGCCTCCGCACAGTCATCTCGTGTTTATGTTGCTGTAAGGATGCTTTTATACTAACTCTTAAACAGACAGTACACTCCACATGTATTATACTCTTCTCCTGTTTCCTTCTGTAGGTTGGCTCATAGTCATGTTTGGAGCGTACTGTCCCTTTTTAATCAAATAATACATGTCAGTAGTAACTGCACCTTTTGAAAATGAGGAAAAACTCTACCAAAAGTCTCATTAACGGTTAACTTTCTTTTGCCATTAATATACAAATAAAAACTGTGAGCCGAGTATTATAATAGGCACTGTGCTGTAATTCTGAATACTATTAAAAAACGCAACAAATCAGCTTTGACATGTTAAATATGATAGCAGTAAGTTCTTCACTGAAACCTGTCGAAGTACTGTGAGCGTGGTGCTGCGTTCCACCGAGCAAAAAACAAACTGCCTTCCACATTTATCTTTGTAAACTCTGACCATCATGTTTGTCCTGTGGAAACTTTGTACAGATTCTCTCCAGCTGTTTAACTCACACTTAAACCCATTTTTTAAGACCAGCATCAGTTACAGTAAATTACAACAACGGCAGGTACAAGGTGATTTTACAGGATATTAACATCCTCATAAATGTTTTTATTTTTTATATGTTTGTAATAACCAATGGCAGTACTTCTCTCATATTGTTGTGCACATCTTTTTACTTTGAATGTTGTGAGACACTTTGTAAACAATGCTTATTTTTTATTTTTTTTCCTCCTTCCAAGATATTGTTCTAATAATAAAATCAGCAGCAATGAAAAGATTTGTTTTGTGACATTTTATCAGTGCAGGAAGCAGAACTGATGACAAACGGCCGATTCAAGTCGAAACAGCGAGTTTTAACCAGATGGGACCTGTGAGTGACCTTTAGTTTAATATTGTGAAATCAAACGTAAAATAACAGACAACATCTGGCAGAAGTGAAGTACATGTCTAGTCTACATCTGCTGCATTATTAATCATGTGACAAAAAGTTAACGTCTGTACGCCATATTTATTCAATCTTACCACAGTAGTTCATAATAATATAAACATTAAAATCTTTTTGTTTTGTTTTTTTACAGTCAGTCTTCTACAGGAAAATATGTACAGGCCATTATTAACATGTGAATATTTCAACAATTTACAACTTTTGTCTCTCACATGTTAACATACTTCTGTTTTTTAAATCAATTCATTTAGGTTTATGCAGAAAAAAATAAAAATGATGACACTTGGTTCAGGTAGCTACATTTACACATGTACAAAGAGTTTGAATCAGATTTTCTGCTCTTGGATTACAGTTGGAAAATATTTGCTTTAGATCATGATTTCTGAAAGCCACCTCATAGGGACCTTGCTATATCTTACTGTTCATACCTTATCTTAGCAAAGGTGGTTTTATATCAATGGTCAAACAGAGAAATGCAGCCAGCAATCTCATGGTAACTGTTAAATACACTTATTATTTATATCTGGACATTATACACAGACGTTTACTTTGAAGGTACAGTTCCTCCCTCATTCCCCCCTCCTTTTTTTTTTTTTCTTTCCTTAAAGTGTACACGTAAATTTACATTTTCAGGGGAACATCCTGACATTTTACTCACAATGTACTTGTCGTAAGATGTAGAGCTGTTCTTCTCCTTTAGTCTTGTTGAAGAAATATGCTCTTCATTAACTGGAATGTCAGAATAAAGTGCCAGTTCAGGAAAAAGAGCAACAGTTCCAAATCAACATCTCCCTTAAGCCTGCTCTGTTGTCACATGAATATCAGTTGCTCCCTTTTACAAAGGTAATGCTAGTTTAAATGTGACCAAGCGGCATATTTCACCATTTGTCACCAGAACAGCATTTTGTGACCTGTGGCTGCTGCACCTCCTGATCTCAGCAATGGAAATAAGTGAGTAAAAGTGATACAAACAATTGATAGTTGTTATCAAAGTCCAGTGAAATAACAACATCCAGTATGTCCAACTTTGGTTAATTTTATATTATAGGCTAGGTTTAAAGAGAACAGGCTCTTTAATGATTTAGGCTCATGACAGCCAAAGATCTGGTAGCATCATCCCCACTACTGACAGAAAAGTCAACAGTGGGGGTTTGATTATTAATTGTGATCGGCGGTTCAATCCCCCACTGTCTGCATGTTGAAGTGTCCTTGTGCAAGATGCTGAACCGCTATCAGCGTGACTTGTGTAAAAGCGCTCAGAAGACTAGACGATTTGTTTATCCTCTATAGTCTGTCTGTGGTGCTCTGATGAAGGCTTGTTAACATTTTGTGGGTTTGTCATTACCTTAACATTGTTATGTGACTGTTAAATTTTAGACCGTAAATTGTGCAGAGACTCTTAAATGAACTGCAGCCGAAGTTGCAGGTGCCCCCCGGACCATAAAAGACAGACTTCTCCTTTAACCGATGTTGTGAAATATTAAATGATTAAAAGAAGCAAAGTCTGGAACCAAACCGGCATTTGTTTGTCAATTAAGACGACTGTGAAAAGTTATGGTTGCAAAGTTATGGTTACTTCTGAGCGGCTGCAGGACAGAGTCTATAGGTGAAGTTGGATTTTGACAACATCTGGTTCTCTGATCACTTTTTGAATCTTTCTGCCTTGTTAGGTTTTCTTTAGCTTCTCATCCACCTGACGTTCTGCTGAAGTCCAAAGGGTGTCAGTATGCGAGTTGTTGCTCAGGTGAAGTCAGATTAAGGTTTGTGTTTTGGGTGGGGGCTCCAGTTTCCGTGACAACGCAGTGAGGATGAGGTTGAATTTGTTGTAGCGATCGGACTGGTTGACTGAAGCGCCACGGCTTCCCCACAGCAGCCGCAGCTGAAAGTCTGTTTTAAACACCTCCAGCAGGTCTTCGTCGCACGGGAACCCTAAAGACCGAAACACAAAAACTTCATGATACTGAAAAACATTTGATGGGAAAAAATTATGATGTAATATGTGTTTTTGTTTTTACCTTGTAAGATTGTCTGTGCGTTGGTCGTGTAGCTGGGTGCGTTCTGTGCGACATCACGTGCAGCCTCTAGGTGGCGCAGCATGATGTCGCAGCCCTGGTCGCTGGTCTCCCAGAGCTCCGCCCCCTCCGGTGTGATTGACGGACGCTCCATCAAAGTGAGGAGGGGCAGCAGGAGGGGCATGCAGACCACCGGAGGAGAGGAAGCTGCAGGAGGAGGAGGTTAGTGTATTTCAATAAATTAACACTTTATTGTCAAACTTATAAAATTGTTCTATAATCTCTGAAGTATTATAATTATTACTTTATTATAAGCATAAAGACGTTCCTCTCAGGATGTTATCTCTGTTACATTAAAAATGATCCAAGGCTGAAGAAATCGGCACGCTGGGTGACGTGACTGAGCTGTTAATGAAGCTGATTTAGCTGACAGAGTTTAAAAATTCAAAAATAACTCAAATTACTACGTTTCTCAATCAGACGTTATTTTTATGGCAGCTTTTAGTGCAAAAACGCAATACATGGTGCTTGACATTGTGTTAAAATACCGGCATAACCGTGTAACGAAAGCTCCTAAGTAAGATAAACTAAGAAAATAAAATGAGAATTAAAATAGAATAAAATAAACCCATAAATTCATTAGTAGGGAAGAAAACCCATGAATGCTCATATTAGGAATCATGTGAAAAGTATATAAAATAAAAACATGCCGCCTCTTCCTCCTGATGGACTACAAATTGTATTTTTGGTGAATTCAAGTCATTTTAAAATTATCTGAATAGCAGCACTCTAGGTCAATACATTTGCTTCCAAATTCACTTTATTCTGGAGACTTAAACTTGTTTATGCATGTTAACTGGACAGCTTTTGTATAGGTTTGTTTATTGTTGTTTTGTATATATAACTTGTTTTTGTGCCGCGCCCCTTCAAGTCAGGTTTAAACTCAACAAGATTTTTACCGAATGAGAAATGAAGAGCAAAGTGAGGCCTGTTGCTTTTGTTTGTCTGTCTGCTGTTAGATTAATAATAATTTAAGGTATTTTTTTAGCTGCAGCCAAGTTTATATTCAGGTGTTTTTGCATGCATGTTTAAGGTATTTATCAGCTTTTTAAAGTCCCTATTTGTATCCTTTCTCACTTTAGCCTAAAGATACTCCAGAGATTTGTGTCCTCTTGTGCAGGATTTGAAATTCACAGCCAGGCAGAAAGTAAATGCTTCACCATCTCCTTTTTTTTTGTGATCTAAATACACATAAATCCCTTGTTTTTAACTTTACAACATGGAAAAGGTAAATTTGAAAGCACCTGGATGCAACTTCAGGGCCTGAATTTTGCAAATATTTGGCTGTTTTTTTCCTCCTTTTCAAAGTCCTTTGATTGGTTGGAGTCCCTGACAATCAATACTGCTACGGATCACCATGTTGAAATGATATGATCATTTGTGTGTGTGTGTGTTCAGTACCTGTGCCCTCGTACAGATTCTTGTAGAAAGGTTTGAGTGTTTTCTCATAGCTGATGGCGGTCTGTGTGTAGTTTCTTCGTAGAGTCGTCCATGTTTCCTCCAAACGACTGATCTGCAGACAGCAACCATCAACAAAGTGTCTTTTTTTAAAACTTTATGCCATATGTCAAAAAAAATGTTGAAGTGTTTTCTGCTTTCATGCAAACAAAAAGAAGGTAAAGTAGCAATGAATGATTGTTAATTGATTGATAATTTATGGGGAGAAGGTTATTTTTACACATTTATTCTATAAATATATATTTATAAAAATTATCACAGTATTTTATTTGAAGTATATATTTCAGTGTGTTTGATATCACGTTTGTGTTTCGTGTTACCTGCGGCAGATCCAGAGCCTTCATCAGGGCCGTGAAAGCGAACAGGTCACCCACTGTGTCCTTCAGCTCCAACGCGACCAGGATGATGCGATTTAAGGTGGACGCCCGCTCCTCCACGCTGCCCGTACATCCCAGAATATCCACAGCAACGCCTATCGCCATGGTGTGGTGCCTGGGAAACGGAGGAGAGGTGGATTATCGGCAGTGTAATGTCAGTGTCTGTTTTTGTTTCTCTCGCTCAGTTTCTAATCTGATCTTTCAGTGGCTGTCTGGTTGTTGCACAGAACAGAATTGACTGTCTGAAGGGGGAATTTACTCTCATTACAGGACGGCCTCCACGTTTATCAACCAGAACAGCACAATGAATCAGCAGGTATGAATCACTACTGACGTCACAGACTCTGTTAAACCAGTGGCTTCCAAACCTTTTGTAACCCCTTAAAATAAAGATTTCAGAGGTATTTCATATATCTTTTCTTTTTCCTTAAATCAATCTTGTGAAGTTGGGAATAACTGGGTTAATCTTAAAAATACAGTTTGACAATTTGGGAAATGTGCTTATTACCTTACGACAGTGCCAGGCTAGCTGTTTCCCCCTGCTTTCAGCCTTTATGCTAAGCTAAGCTAACCGCCTGCTGGTTGTAGCTTCATATTTACCATACAGACACGAGTGGTATCGACCTACCCATCAGAAAGCAAATGTTCCCTTTCAAGTTAATTGTGATTGAACTGTGTGAATGAGCTTTTTTATGGGGACTTGAACTTCCTAGAAACGTGTTACTTGATGTCATTCAACATTTGTGCTGTTTGATGTGTACCTTTCCATCAGGTCCAGCCTCAGCTGTCGACCGTGCGGCAGCGTCACCAGCTCCAGACCGGAGGACACGCCCATCTGACCTTTAAGCTCTGGAGTCACTCCGAGTATCCTGGCAACCTAGAGGGGAAAAAACGTTTACAAGAGGCTGTCAATTACATTTTGTTGTGTGTAATATTTGGTTTGAGTGATTCTCCTGCGTCATGAGGATCATTTTGTTGCAGCAGTAACATCAGCTGCATAACAGATGTAATTCTGTGACACACACGCACACTGTAACAGCACCAGGTAAATCTTCACCTCTAAATTAAGACGTGAATCAGTTACTGATGTTTTATAGATCAGTTATAAACTATTCATACAGTAAGAACAGCTTTCCCTGTGAAAAATCTCTTTGGTTGGTGTTTATCCTCTTTAGTTCATCAGTAAGACCTGTGAAGACCCTCTAAATAACACATTTGGTTTACTTTATGGAAACCCCAACAATTAGTATTAGCATCTAAAATACAACTGAAGTTTAGATGGTTTATGAGGAAGAGAGAAACCCATGATTATTCATTAATGAATAACAACATTTATAAACTAAATACAAAAAGACAAACATCAGCTAAAGGGATTTTTCACGATTTTGTAACAAGTTGAACAACTGATCTGCAAAGTCTTAAATTATTTATTAACCATTAAACAGCTACTGGTTACAAGTTACAAGTCTTAAAAAGTGAAGCATGACACAGGATTGTGTATACTTTCTGTTTGCACTTACTTTAAATGTCCAGTTACCTTTTTGTATATGTATATATTACATGTATAAAACTAATTTTAAAAAGTAGTATACATACATACTGGGTTTTATGTAGAACACTGTTCACTGTAGTTTACAGAAAAGGACCTTCTCTAAACATTACTTCCAAGAAGAGGAAGACTGATAATTCTGAAATTTCCAACTTACGACCTCTTTTCAGGTGCACAGCGCCAAATGTAAACAAAAAACATAGCTGACCGTGACAAACTGATGTGTCCTGTGTACACAATTGAACTCAAAGCAGTGTCCTTGGTGTTAAATAAAGTAAACCATCAACTAAAAGGCGATGTAATGTACAATTGCCTGTTTTTAATTAATATATACTATAATATAGTACAACCTGTTCTGCATGTAAATTGTTGTCACAATATGTGGCCATGTTATTGGGTAGCTGGTTATGATATACAGTTCGGGAAAATGTTAAAAACGCCATGTGAAAATATTAGAAAATATACAACTTTAACTGAATTTTGCAGATTACCTTCTGATGTAGCTACATGGGAATACAGTTAACGAGTAAAGTCACTTAAAACTGCAATCTTTTTAATTAACACCAAGAGCACTGCTATGAGTTCAACTGTGTGTATACAAGAAACATCAGTTTGTCACGGACAGCCAAGTTTTTTTGTTTGGTGTCGTGCACCTGAAATGCTTGGAGGTTGGAAGCTGGAAATTTCGACTGGAAAATGCCGAACCCCAACTTTGATTGGAACACAACAGGCCTTGGGGCACAGGCTGTTAGGCTGTGGCGTGCAGGCTTTCAGTCGCACACTATACTTTATTTATTTTCAGAAAATCCGAATTTTATATTTTAGAAAAACAGAATTGTGGCATACTAAATACACATACTAATCCAGCACCTGGTGTAGGAACCTTGATAGTCTGTCCACTAGAGAGCACCGACAAGTTTATTTTTCACCTTTAAAATTTCGGGCTCAGTACGTATTTGTGTCACAGTTCTCAAAGAAAGAAAATTCAGATTTGAATTTCTCAAATTGATATTGGCCTCAAAAATCCTCATGAAATGATATAAGAAGAAAAGAGGTAAAAATGCTTTGGAAATATCTTCAATATCTTTAATTATTTTATTAATATATTATAAAATGAAAGTTCCAGCAGTTATTTTGTGTTCAAAATAAGAACCTGTTCCTGGATTAATAAAATAAATAAAAAACTACTAAATTTTGCTAATATGCTACAAATGTTTGCTACTGGAAATGTGAAGTTTGTATTAAAGTGAATTAATTTCTAACCAGATTTAATGATTGTGAAATAAAGAGAAATAAAATAACAGCATTCGATAATTACACTGTGTGTGTGCTTACCTGGCAGTCGGCCATCAGCAGGTGTTTGGCTATACTGTGGTGATTGTGGCTGAGTAGCAGCTCCTTCGCTCTCTTTAGAACCACCATCTCCAGCGGTTTGTTTTCCGGCGGCAATAGTCGAGATCCGAACTCTGCCGGCTGGAACGTCGACTCTGTCTCTACGACGGGCCGCTGGAAACTGCTCCCCTCCCTTTCCCTCCTCTCGTCTTCGCCCTCCTCTTCCTCATCTTCGCTGGTGTTTTCTAAGGCGGCGATGGCGTGATGGTAGGAGCTTCTGTCCAGTCCTCTCTTTCCTCCCATCTCTTTCTCCTCCTGCCCCTCCTCCTCTCTCCCTCCGTCCCCCTCTCTCCTCAGTCTCTCCACGTAGCTGCAGAACGGAGGCTGAAGTTGGAGGGTGTCGACTGTGATGGGGTTATATTTTGATTCCTCCCACTCCAGCGGGCTGCAGGACCTCAGGTCTGCAGGACTCTGTTGCAGCAGTTCAGTTCGTCCTGTTTTTGCCTCTGAATCTGAATACTGACCCATTTCGGCAGAGTCTGGATGCAGGAGTTGATGATGAAACTTCAAGGGTTTGACTGGAGGAACAGGAGGGCCTGCGGTGGCTGAGGAGTAACAATCGCATCCATTAAGTATTAACATTAGCTTACTTCCAATTCCTTTCTAGTGGTTTCAGGAAATCAGAATGTATCAGAAAACAGCTACAATACTATAGACACTTAAAATCTAAATTGAACTTTATTGAGCCCATACTATATCTCCCACTTGGTAAAAAAACTACAGAAGCGTAAACAAACTGGTAGGAAAATTGCTGCAAAGCCACCCTCGCTAGCAGTTAAATTAAATCCAACAGATCCAGAGAAATGGTCAATATTTTTACAAACCTCTTAAAACTTATGGGGCAGTGATTGATTATTTGTTTAAAATGCTCCAAGTAAAGCTCTGTGACCCGAAAAGTGTCCAGTAAATAAAAACAGCCAAATTTGAAGTTATTAGTGCAAAAGTATAAATATAATATTATTTATAGTTACCTCCACTCCTCCACGCAGAACCAAGAGTCTCTACACTTGTGGCATCCAGGGGAGGTGCAGGTAGCCTGGAAGAGGTGGAGTCTGTGAGGTTGGAGGAGCTGGATGGGGGAACCAGTGGTTGAAGGCAGGGGGAGCGAGGCAGTCGAGCCACCGGCACCTTGCTGGGTTTGGGAGGAGGTTTAGGACACAGCTGGCTGTCGGAGCCCCGGATGGCCTGGCCTGGAAACACACAAAGAAAACATCAGTCACACAATATGTTTTATCAGATATACTTGATTCTTTATTCTATTAATTTAATCAAGTAAGTTTTGTTTACTTCTGATGATAAATTGGAATAAGAGAAACAAAGCGAAAGCCTAAGATGAAAGCACACGAGGACATGGTTACATTCGCATGATACAATGGCAGGAGCAAATAAGAAGAGTGTTTACACCTACAGGTACACACTTCAGTGGCATAGTGACTGGCTGGTTTTAATTGGCTGTAAGTATGACAGGTTTATTTTTTTAAAGCCGAACAAATAAAAGATGTGTTGATGTGGCGATTCAGAGGTGTGGAACAAGGCTATTTTTTAATCATTGATTGTTACCAGCAGTGATGTGTTTTGGTGTTGGGACTAAAACATATAAAAGATAGGTAAAACAGGAGCAAAAATGTTTTTTGTTCTTATCTACTTGACTGTCATTTATTTATTCTTTGTTTTTATTGCTTTATCTTTTGTATCTATTTAATGATTTTGAATGTCTATTTGCATCTGTCTCTTCTGTTTATTTTTTACATCTTGTGAAGCACCCTGTATCATTAAGAAACAATTTGCAAGGCCAGCTTCTGATTTGTCAAAATTCAGTATTTTGACATGTATACTGGTACTGAATGTGCAGGGGCACAATCTGATGCTGTGTAACATTCACACAATAAAGCCATTAAAATATGGCTTGGTGATCATTCTGTGGCCACACAATATACTAAACTAGATCCTGAACACACATTGTATTGTATTTACTCAGCAGCATAAAAATACCAGGTTGACAGGTGGTTGTGTAATATTTCTGAGGTTTTGTTTTTTGTGTGGTTCAGTTATCACACAGATACAGGGGATTTTATCTTCCAGGTCACCTTACCTGCCAGAAGCTCTGCAGACCTCCGTGGGACAGAGGGGCTCAGTGTCGGCTCACTGCCCGTCCGAAAGACTGGAGATTTGGGGTTGGGGCTTTGGAGGTGAGGGTCAGGAGGCTGCTGGGGCTGTGATTTAGATCCTGGGGAGAAGAGGACATAACAGAAAAAGGAAGGAAAAAGTGTGTAGACCAAGAGGAATAAAAAAAGAAAAAGAAGATGAGTTGAATTACGAAATTAGTTACACAGACCACTTGTTGTTGTGATTTAATCATCTAAATTCGATTTTTTCATAAACATGTACTGCACAATAAAGAGTGAAAAAAGGCTTCAATATGCTTCAAAGAAACAAGCCTTTTATAAAACCGAAGTAAACAGTTCCAAATAATAGCAAACAAAAGTGGGGCCAAAACCCTGCTGTCTGCCTGCATGGAGTGATACACGATGAATAATACAAAGCGTGTGTCTCTTACAGAAACATTCACAGTGATGCACTCAGTTGTACACAGAAAATCAAGTAGTTGTGTAAGGAATATATAAAAATGTACAAATCCCCTATTATTTTCACACCCGGCTAATCACTGCATAAAATGGGGTGAAACGGTCTGTTTTGAATAGTTTCCGTTGTTTCAGATGCTGTTAGTCGATCTGACAAGGACTGCGTCTGAAGCATTCGAAGTCCTTAACAATCTCACTTTCACTTACCGAGAGGCAGGTAACTTTCCGATTGGTGCGCCTTGAGCGGGCGGCGCCTCTCTTGGACCTGATTGAGACTTGCTGGTTGGCTTCCACACCGATCCTTCAATCTGAATGAAAGGAGACAATCGAAAATTAATATTAGTAAACATATTTACACATAAACATTCCTTTAGGGGAAAAAAAAAAAAACATATTTTAAATATGAATATAAAGGTTAACACTGCGAGAATAAAAAGCACCAATAATGAGAAAGAAACAAAGAAAGAACTCCTCTGAAGACCAGGACATCAACACCTTTCTTTTTGTACAAATACTTTTCTCTTTCCCTATACCCCTCTTTCCTTCTCTGTCTCCTAACATTTTTATCTTTTCCTTGCTCCTGCTCTGTCTCTTCACTCCATACATTATGCTTGATTTGTTACTATGCAGTGTGAAATTACACAGCTCTGTTCCTTCCAGCAGAAAAGCCATACACCATGATCTTTATTTATAGAGGACTTATGATACGTATGTAACATGTCAGATCTATAGCCTACTGCCTGAATGATGAATGTAAACAGGTCGAGGCACACAAGCTTAAAAGCAGGAAGGGATTTAAAAGGTTGTTATATGTCTTTCAGAGGGTGTGAGAGAGAAACAAAGAGAGGACGGCTGAGTAAAGGTGGGTCTCCATTATTTAAATACAGCAGACAACATTATTTGGTCTGTATCCCACTAACCACTTCCAGTAATAGCTTTGTGTTGCTTGGAGCTAAAAAGTACAACAGTCTTTAACATCTAACATCTTTAAATCTAACAAATTGCACAAGCTTAATACGTGAATGTCTAGAAACAACAAACACATCCATTACTCCAGCTGCTTTGGTGTTCATCAGTGTGTTAGTGGGTTTTTTTCTTGTGTATCAACCTGAGGTGGCTGCCTCGGCCCATGCTGTTGTCCTGGCAGTGTTTGCTGTCGTGCACAGCGTGTGTGTTGTCGTGTGTGTGTCCGTTTGTAATGTTGAGGCTGAGGCGCTTGTGAGTCCGCCTCTCCTGTGCCATAAGCCCCGCTGCCTCTCGATGTTTACTGGACAATCCGTACTTTTCTTCCAAGCAGCGTAGCGGCAGCCCTCTGTTAATTGGCTGGAAGATAATGGCTCCTACCACCTTAAATGTACAGAGAGAAGACAAAATAAGACAAACTACAGTAAACTCAACATATTTTCTCTCTCAAACCCTCTCTCTTAGTGGAATAAAGGATATAAAACGGTATAATTGCAGAGAAAGGGCACATATTAATGTCAGAAAGGCAGTTAAACATTTTATTTAATCACAACACAACAGTTTTTGGAGGGCATTTGAAATTCCGTTATGTCAACAGAAGAAGGTAGTATTTGCTCAACACTGACCAACAAGCCTGTTGTTGTTTTATCTGTTCCGATTAGGAAAACAAACTAACCACCAACAAATAAACTGTATTAAAGAACCTATGAAGATGTTTCCATAAAAACACTGTGACCAAACCCACCTGGGAGACAGGTTTTCTGTTGCCGACGTAGTATCTTATAAGTGCAGGGACATTGTCAAACCCTTCCCTTTCCAGCCGGTACTCTACTCTGGAGTAGGCTTCGTTCAACATCACTACCTAAAGGAGAGATGCAAAAAAGATTTTATTTACTTGTTATAATCTGGTTGTTCCCAACCCTTTTTTTATGAATCCTTAAAATGAAGCATGGCACTTGCGCCCTAATGTCACAACTTGCAAATGTCTACCAATTGTGACCACTTTAACCAAAGAGTGGCTTTTTACCTCTCAGATTTTTCACAGTAATTCACACGGAAATAACAAATATCAGAACATTTTCTGGAGAGAAAAAAATAAACCTAATTTTGTGTAGCAGAAATATGTTTCTGCTACAATAATTTTTTATTTACATAACTTAAAAGTGTATTACAATATTCTTCAAGTTAAATCTTCTTTAAGCTACATTTTAATCAAAGTAGATGTAAAAGGGCCGCTAAGGTTGCCGATCCCACAGAGAATCAACATCCCAGTCTGGAGTTTTTTCTATGAATTCTTACCTTTTTGTTGATTTTAAAGTGTTGGGCAGCATTTCGCCATTGGCAGGTCAGAACATAACTTTCTGGACTGGACAGCGAATCACGGATCAGGAAATCCCCGTCACGCTGCACCAAGTTTTCTGCAACCTGGAACAAAAGAGAGGATGACATATGGGTGCACACAACACACACACATACACACACACACACACAGTGTTTGTTTGTAGTCCAAACATTTCATTAAATCTAATAATAGTAGGTTGTTATATTGGTACCTTCTTTTTTATGTGCTTGGGGCCAGCTGGTGTGTAGTGGTTACATAAGACAGGACATTTAAAGCCTCAAACTATTACAATATTTATCCAGCTAAAAAATAATCAAATTAATTTACATTGATGTTTTATAATTTAACTTTCATATATGGGAAAAACACCCTTTGAGTCATTTAAACACAGAGATACAGTATGTATTGTCTGACAAAAAAGTTGTCTTAAGTCTTGCACTTTTGTACTTATGGCAGAGAGAGTTATCCGTGACAACTGATCTCCCCATATGTTGCACAACAAAAAAGGCTTTGGTTAAAAGCTCCAGAAAAGCTAACAAATAGACGTTAAGATTAACGTTATTTTGAGATTCGTTTGGTCAAACTGCTGTTTCCAAGGTTAAGAATGACTAATTAATTAGTTGGTCGACTGCAAATTAGTTATTATTTGTTTGTTTTTTAAAGCAAAAATACCAAACTTCAGCTTCGGAAATGTGAAGATTTGATGAAGCTTTTCTTTGTCATTTAGGATACACTTATTTGGGCTTTGCACGGATAAAAAAACAAGCAATTTTAGTTCATCAAAATGGCCATTTAAATTAACGGGCATCTTTAGTTGCAGCCCTCTGTGAAAACATAAACGTCACACAAGACTAAATGCAAAACTCTGTGATCGTTAACTTCCAGTTGTTATACAACAGGAACAGATGATCAATATTAGATTAAATAAAGCATTCACTTCACTGAATCAATTCACAATTAAAAGCAGAGCTGTAGGACGCGATGAAGCATACAATTCACAGACATGAGATTTACTGTTTCATTCAAAAATCTGAATATTTTGTTCAAGAATGAGTTCAAAATGTTTCTTGTAAAACTTTGTAATCTATCACACTCTTGTTATATTTACTGCCTCTCTTCTGACACACACACGCACGCCTAACCTTAACCCAATTGTAACCTGAACCGAAAAACCAAGTCTTAACCTCCAAAAACCAGTCTCTACCTATAAGGACCACAATTTTTGTCCCGATGGTAACACAAGTCCCCATTAGTTAGTGTGCATTCAGGTTAAAGTCCCCATATGGATATGAAAACATGAAAACCAGACACGCACACAAAACCCTTCACACACAGTTACAGACTTTAATTAAGCAAGTGTTTGTATAGTATATAATGGTAGTTTAGTTTGTCTAAGGAAACAGCTTATTAAAATGATTACATCTCAGAGCTGGCTTTCAGAAGGAACTCACAATCTCACACACACACACACACACACACACACACACACACACACACACACACACACACACACACACACACACACACACACACACACACACACACACACCATATAGAAAGAGCTTTTTATGCACTGACCTTATGTTATAACCCTGCTGAGGCCAATATTTAAGCTATAATCTTTCTGTAAGCACTGCATGTGCAGTATGGCAGGTTAATAATAGGTGATCTGGTTCAACAAGTTTTTAACCAGGCTTTTAAAGGGAGGGACTCATGACTCAAATGCATGTGTGTGTTACCTGTCTGGGTATGGCTCCGTGGTACCATGCGTGGCTTCTGGGCTCCTCACAGTTCATCTTTAGTTCTTCCTCCAGCTCTCTGCGAAGTTTCTCTGAAGGGCAGTCCAGGATGAACTGATCTCTGGAGAACTGCGATAAAACAAATATACAAAAACAGAACTTAATACTGTGGCTGACTTCTGTGGAAAAACACACAGAAAGAGACTCCATTGTCTTCATTCATCCATCCATAGTGTTGATGACAGCCGATGTTGAAACTTTCCTACACAGACCATCTGAGGAGGATTGTAGCGAAGACTCCAAACCTCAAGACTGACAATAATCATAAAACAGTTCCTTATTCCCTAAAACAAACAGTGATGAGGTCAAAGCTCAAAGGCACGGGAAAAGCAATGACAAATATTAAACCTGTGACTCTAGAGTGACCATAGAAGTTAAAAAGAAATATAAGGTAAAGAAGCAAATGCATAACAGAAAGGATAAAGGTAAAAAAAGAAGAGAAAGTACAAAGGAGGGTGGATGTGATTGTTTGCAAGGAAATGAAAAATAAAGACTTTTGTATTCTTTTTCTTCATTATGGTGTAGCAGAGTGGTTTCAGAGGGCTCTGACTATTTTGTTTTTAGATATCTAAATAGAAAAAATCATCTAGGAATTTATGACAAAAAAACAACAACAACAGCAACAACATTCAAGCCCCATTTCTATCCTGTTTATAATTTTATGACTCAGATGTATCTTTAACACCTTGGGATATCCCTACTCCTGGATTACTTATCACAGGTGGAGCAAACCACATAGCAGCAACAATTCAACAACACTATTCATACAACAATCACAAAGGTAATGCTAAAGCTAATGTTCAGCATACTTATTTTGTCACATTTCGGGTTCTGATAGTATATCTGATAGTAGTATAATATAAATTATGTAAAGCCATTTATTCCATTTCTTTGATACTGCTACAACCAGTTTCAACTACTGCAACTGCTACTACTAGTAGTACTCCTAACTAACACACATAAAAAGGAAAGACCGCTCAGTACATCACAGCAGCAACAAAACAATATGTAGTAAGGCACAACATTAGGGCTTGATGAATTGAAAAGCTTTTTAATGTACCTCTAACAGAAATGAAAGCCATCCTAAACAAGAAGCCATTTGACTTCACTTTAAAGAAAAACTGAATTCAAATCAAATCATGACTTTACAGTCTATACAACACACAACAATACCCTTAGACCTTTGTACTAAAACTAAATTAACTCAAGGTCACCCAAAACATATAAAGTGACAAAGCTAGCTACCAAGACAAGTGACAGGGAGAAACAGACAATAGTTTAATAATCACCTGACAGATGATGAAAAGATTGATTAGACAGTTTTATCCCGACAGAGAGGACACAGAGACCTGTTAACAACCTCACAGGATACAGAGTCAGCACAAATACCAGCAGTAAAACACACACGCCAAACACCAAAACATACACACTTACATGACAGCTGCTGGGCCTCTGCATTGTTTCTCTCAAGCAACATGCTCACACTCACTCTGTCTCTGTCCTCAGTGATTTTTCTCTCTCGGGTTTTCACCTGTTGCCTCTTAATATGTCATCATCCTGATGATCCAACTGCCCGGACCTGCCTCCATACACACCCTTACCTGACGTACGTAAACACACACAGTCACCTCCCTGATCTTTCGCCGAGTAGCTCTGACAGGTGAAACATTAATTAAATATTGTAAGTATAGTTTTAATTACAGTGTTCAGTGCTGTACAAAGACTTCCCTGTTTCATTAGTTAATTAAAGTATCCATCTGAGACAGATAATAGTGATAATAACAACAATAATATTTTATTTTTTAAAGCTGTAAAGCTGATAGAAGTGGTGCAGGCATATTAATTCGATGGGTGTTAATTTAAGTTTAAATAATATATATTACAGATTTGGGTGTTTTTATGCCCTCATATTTTTATAACAAGGACAATCCACAACACATTTATTGCACCCGATACAGCCATTTGTGGTGAATAAAAACATTACACTTCCCCTTCAGTCCAGCTCACTTTTGTTGTCATTGACCTCCTACAGAGAGCTGCATTTTTCTGTTTAGAGTTAGTAGTTCTATACTGATTTCCTGATCATTAATGGTACCTTTGGTCATGAAGGGTAATTTCAAGCAATTTTCAGAATTCACGATATTCCTGTGCTGCAGAAAGTACAGTCAGTTCTAGTGAACCTTCACAATACTTCCAAAAGAGAGACCCCTCGGAACTATTTGTGGCTTTAACACTGAATCAAATTGCTCACTGTCATGTGACACAATTGCTAGAACTTCTCATCCCACTGAGAATAAACATCAGTGTAGCTCCATGGAGGCTTCGGCCAAAAACAGGCTCAGACATTTTTCCCCATTAGTTGGCAGACTAAACCTTGGAGTAAAATAGAAGTGAAGATTTCGATACAAGGCCGAAAAGGCACATGTTGTTGTTTCTGTGATACCAAGAGACAAGTGAAGCTAACACGATAGAAATAGAAACATGATAAAATTTCCCTCTCATGTTCAAAAAAAAGCTTAATGCAGTTTCATAAAAGCTGAATTCAGCTTGCAAGCATTAGAAATTAAAGTTGATTTAATTTAAACAATGTGGAAGGATCCTGCGGTCACATTGTGATGAAGAAGAAATGCTTTCTGTGTTATAATATTTTTAAAAAAAAGCAATAATTTAAAAAATGTATTGCTTTCTTTGAATTAACAACCCAACATTGTGCTCCAAACAGCTCAAGGGAAACTGGAAGAGAGGTTCTACTGCAGGTGCTAGGTGCATGGTTTTATATTATGATAATGCTATGCTGTTTCTTCTTAGCTGTAATTTCTCCACTGGAAATCATAGGTAGCAGGTCCATGTGCTGGTGTTAAGAGACCTTTAAAGAAAACTGCCCGGGGACTCTGAATGAGCCTTGAAGACTCTAAGGATTGAGCTCTGAAGAAGACTTTGATCCAAAGCTGCATGGATGAAGCGGTTCAAGGCAGACTGAGCTCACGGTGAGCTACAAGAGAGTGCTGACATTTACACCCACACTCGAAGGGAATTATTGGGGCATGTATATGAAATTGGAAATATGTCTATAAGCATCCCCATGAAACTGAAACCTTGTGCATCCTTTCAACTCTATACTGCTTGTTCTCTCTCTCTGTGGCCTCTCTAACTCTCTTTTTCACATTTTCTGTCTCTCTCTCTAAAGTCATTAGAATAGACCACTCTGCCCTCAGCCTCCACTTCTCCATACATGACAGGAAGTCAGCGTATCCTATTACAGCTTCCACACAGAAAGCAATAGAGCAGAACACAACAGGCCCGGTGTCATAATGCACATGCACTGATTTTGTTTGTTTCTAGTTTGAAACAGAGACACAAACCAGTGAGAGCCTAACTTGTGTCATATGACTATGTGCATTGATGCAGCAGTGGAAAGTATTTAGAAGCAGTAGTGAGCGGTCATTGATTTCACTATATGGAGCATGATACTATTTACACGGCCACAAAGTTTTAAACAAACGAATAAAAATTACCTGAACTGAAAATGAAAATCTGTTAAATTAAATTATACTTTGCATCATCTTTATTTCCATTTTGTGCAGGTATCAAAACTATATAATAAGGGTTTTTTTCTGTTTTCATCTTGAGGATAATCTAATTAATAATAATACTAAAACTTTACTTTACCACTTTATTATTTAATTTACTAAATTATGTTATTTGAATAAACTCAGAATAACATTTGAGTGTGGGGACAATATGAAATGTCTTTATACAAATGTAAAGAACAAAAAATTAATGTGTGAGTAATTGACAGTTGATACCCAACCTTTCATTATTCTTCAATCATGGCGACAAGACTGTAGTCCACATATTGCATCAGTATATACAGTCTATTACCATATTTCACTGTGGCATTGGCCTCATCAGCAGCAGCAATTTAGGGTTCAGTGTCTTGCACACTTCATTATCAATTCTTTATCATTTTAGACTAAGGGATGAAGAGAGGATGAGATACGTACTTAAAAGTTTAAAAGGGGAAGAATTGGAGGTTGCATCACCTTTATTTATTTTCACTTTTTATTTTGTTTCTGAGTTAAAAGCAGTTGTAACATAATGATTTTAACTGATCTGCCTGAGCAGCATGCTTTTCCTGTTGTACCAGAATTATGCAACACATATAGATCTGAACTTGATAAACTGAAAGCATAAGAGCTGTTCGCTGTATTAATGTCAGTGTATTTGGCTTGTGTTAGAGCTCTAGTGAATGACAGATGCAATTGTTTTGTTATTGATTAGAGTCACATTTGTGATTACATTCATTACAACAGTCACAATAAAATGTCTTTATATCTGAAGGCACATTGCCAACAGGACTGAATAACAGAGGAGTGCTGTACGAAACAGTGATGCATGGCAGGAAGGAGGGATTAAGCGAAACAGAAACTATGGAAGAGAAACAAATGAATGCGTACAGAGGGAGGAGATGGTGGATAGGAGTGTTTTTTATAGGCTGGCCTTTAATAAGACCCTGCAATATGATGTCATCCTCAGAGAGCAGCTGCATTTATACTGTACCACCCTGTTTATATGGATCACAACACAGAACTAAGAGTACTGAGCACTGTAATGACATGTCTTTCCAACAACCTTATTTTCTAACATCCCCAGTGACAATGAGCCTCAGTGCACTTGAATTTTTGAACCTGTTTTTATCTATAATCACTGTGACGACAAGAAGACCATTTTTCTTTGACTGTGATCATCCCATGATAATGACGGAATTGAATCTCAGGGGTGAAGGTTAAGTGTTAGAGGTAGCAACTAACCATGTACTCTACATTTACTCAAGTACTGAATTTCAGTAGAATTTAAAAGGTATAGACACTTCCAAGGTAAGAACTTCCATTTCAGGAGAGGTTCCTGACAAAATATTGTACTTTTTTCTTCACTGTAACACTTCAATGCCCCTTATCTAGCAGTTATACGTGTCTAAAATATACATCAAAAGAATATTTTACTCTGCATTAAATTGCAGCAGTTTTCGGATACACAGACAACAAATGGCATTGTTCAAAAATGATTTC